CCGTATTGACCTCGCTGTCGCTCGGTCAATACGGCAAGGCCTCAGTTTGAGATTTTCCCGTAACGACCTCACTCTCGGTTATTAAGTAGTTATTATTAACCGAGTTCGCTATCGTAAGTTACGGACCGTGTTTTTTCCCTTCCGGTTTTACAGCCCAAGCGCGAGGTGTGCGGGCAGAATCAGGGGAAAAAACGAGGATCCGTGACTATAGTGCGACCTTGAAAAGAATATGGCCCTCTAAGTCGATCAGCAGTAACTGTGAGATACAACAATACAATACATGGCAGAGTGGCGAATAGGCCCAACTTCTCGCCCTTTCGCTTCCGGTCTATGTTATTCCTCGAGAAGAGACCAGCGAACAGCGGCTGGCAATCGAGCCACATACGAGCCCAGTGGCCCTTCAGGCCGGAGTTTATCCCGGTTACAGTAGCATGAAGCGACTAGGAGTATTTCTACTCCCCCCTGGATGGGATGCTAGTCCATCGCAGGGTTACCCCCCCCCCCCAGCATTAAGCTCGCCGGTATCCATTTATACATTTATACATACATAATCGAGCCTAAGTGGTGAAGCATTATTAGGTCATATAGCTCACGAAATAACTAACAGTAAATATCGTGTATCCTAAAGGGAATAGCACTCTAGCTATTCTATCTATCCAAACAGTGTCCATTCTTGTCTTGTTTTCAGTCAAACTTGCGACAACCTTTACTCGAGGAAGCCTTTGCAGCGTTGAAATTTCATCCTGAACTTCGTTTGCCCTGACCCCATCCGCACACGCGTTTGGTTCTTGAGTCATCTCGTAGCTTTCCCCCCTGGATTTGTTTCCCTGCAATGTTTTGTTACAAACGTAAACGCGTCAGAGATATTTCATTGACTTGACGGTAATGATCGCGCACCTGGCGCACTCTTTGCTAAGATTGAGATCAACTGAGAGGGTATAGCAAACTCTCAAGACAAAGTTTGTCCAAAATACTCCGCTGCGCGTCGTAATTTCAACTCTCTTCTCGGTATTTGGAAATGTGGTCAAATGCTGTCTTTCGTGTTTGATATATTACCACAAGCACAAACTTCAACAGTGAACTATACACTCTCACGACATTGATGGTTCCATGTCCAAAACAGCCAGACGTTGTTATATTATTACATAGCTTTGCTACGCATGTTTAGGCATTTTTTGCAGAAAAGAATATCCGATAGGAAATCGAGCAAGTTCAATTTTTAGTGGACAAAGACCTTGTACCAGAATAATACGGTCCTTTTTGCATTTTCTAAAAGTTAAAAATATAAATATTTGCCTGAAATAACACCAAAAACAGTTACCCATGGGAAGTCGGGGAAATAAATTTCAAAGTTCAGAGACATTGTGCAAACACAGGTAAAATTTCCTCATCAGTTCCATTTCACCAGTACTTTCAAGTGTTTTATACGAACTTCAATGATTTGCTTTCGACATTTGGTGTTGTTAGAAATGATTTCTTTTGAGAACATATTTAAAACAGTGGCATAGAAGTTTGCAATGCAATGTAAATAAATAATCTTGGTACAAAGTTTTTGCGCACTTGTTACTCGAACTTCTGGTGGATTTCCACATAAGTTCACTGATGATAATTCCCTGATTGATATCTCTCCCTACTGTTATAAATAGTTTCTTAGATGAGCGAGAATGAGAGGACGAACATGAGAGAAACGTGGGTATATCGGACTGCCTGCCTGCCTGCGTGCCTGCCTATCTGTCTGTCTGTCTGTCTGTCTGTTTATAACATTGGTTTCAAAATAAATTTTACCTTTTCTTTCTTTGAAGTAACTTTCCTAGAGGTTTGTCTTCCAGAGGCAGCTGCCTTGTAAACGATGACACTTTCCAAAAGCGCGAAAAAAGTAAACGCAAACGACACAATCAAGAACAGGTCAGCGGCTTTCACGTAGCTGACATGTGGCATGGCCTCGTTGATGTTTCCGACCAGGAACAGCTGAGTAAGGAGGGAGGTGATACCCACTGTGCCCCGGTCCCCGACGTTTCTGCAGTCCATCCAAAAGACCATCCATGACACCACCGTGCACAGGGTACAAGGGAAGTAAATCCGTATGACGTAATAGCCAACTCTTCTGTTTGCCGCGAACTTGACGGTCAGCACGTCAAAGCAACCTGACAAGAAACCATGGTAACCGTCAATCACGATCATTTAAGTCTTTAAGCGTTTAACTGGCTTTGAAAGGAGCTACGTCACGTTTTGCGCATCAAGTTAATTCGTCTATTTTAATCGGTGTTAATCTTCTCCATCCTTAGCCATCCTTGTTCCTTTATGATACATTATTATCTCTTTGGTATTTTTCCATCTAAGTAAACTACTATTTTCAGGTTTTCTTCCATTTAAGGTAATTTTGAGGAAACTCAATGTACCGTGACTGAGCTTCTTTTATGTCACCAAAGTTTTCCTGAGTCATTTTCCTTTTAACATTTAGACTATATACAATCCTTTACCTGGACGGGAGATAATCCAGTTAACAGCTAAATGTTCGGCGATTTCTCTGCTATCAGTTTAAACTTTTTCAGCCCATTATATTTTTCAGCTATCAGTAAATATCTTCATATTTGTGATCTTAAAAACGTGGCGTTACTCAGCTGACTGTTAAAATTGTGACCCAAAAGCCCCCGTCCACACTACGCTGGGGGAACTCGAAAGCAGAGGTTTCACTCTGAAAACGCATTAAACGTTTTCTGTCCACACTACGCCGGAGGAATTTAAAAACGCCGCAACAATCACCGGTCATTTTGGATTTGTGTTTGAGGAAAACTCGGGCAGGGGGAAATCAAATGATAATCGCGACTACATCAGTTTTCGAAAAGCTCCGTTTTCGTGACGGATTAGTGTGGACGGTAGACCCAGCAGTAGAATTACAGCTGCGTTTTCAAATTTCTCCGGCGTAGTGTGGACGGATCCTTAACTATCATTTAAATCACATCCACAACCTATTCTAAGAGGAAATAATCGACGGTCAAAGGTATCATTTGAGTTAACTATAGCTCTTAGAGAAAAGACCAAGATGATTTTAAATAGGCATTGTTGATTTATTTAGGTATTTTTAAGCCAAAATTCAAGGACTGTCTTTCATTTCAAAGTTGAACTACATAAAGCAATTTTCATACCCATAAAAAGTTCTTTGACAGTGTACTCTATGCTTTGATTGGTTACTACGAATTCAGACATCTCTTTGTTCAAAAGCTGAATGTTTGCTCCTCTGTAGTTCAGTTGCTTGGTATCCCTTCCATCTAATAAAAAACGAAAAAAAAAAAAATATTAAAGGAAAGATTTTTTGAATCTACGTAAAAAGCACACTTTATTAATAACTTTACACAATAACTACTGTTTCCTCCCCTGAAACCGTATTTCGACGGTTACAAAAAAACAGTAAAAACTAAATACAATGATGCAAGAGACCGTAGACGAAAATGCTGTCGGTGTACTGCTGTCCACGGTTGCAATTCTTGGCTTCCAGTTTGGACTTTATCATGTCGATGTCCCGTTAAGCTTTCCACGTTGTAATCAACCTTGCTTCATTGTTATGTTTATAAAAACGCTCCTCTTAAACACTCATCGGCCCCCTTTAATCTGGTAATCAGAAAGTGCTGGCGTAGTCATGTTTATTGTATACTTTGAAGCGTAGGTTTCTTACGGTGAGAAGAGAAGATATCACAATTTTAAGCAAGCGGATCGTGTGCGATTAAACGAGAAACTGTGGCTCCACAGTCATGTTTAGCGACCAACATCCACTTCTGGACTGAAAGGAAATACACTTCTATCTGCTTTTAGTATAAATCTACTAGAGTTCTATCACGAATGCAGTTCTATGATTGGCTACCCTACCCACTATCTATTCTGTGATAGATAGTGGGTTGCGTAGCAGTGTGCCCTTGTTAACAAAATGACGGCCGCTTCTTTGCGTTTTCGAGGTGTCTGTGAAGAGGATTTAGATAAAGTATTGAACAACTAGTAAATTTATACTAAAACAATTAGATTATTTGCTCTCGATTTCTATTCGTGATAGTTGACTCGGGCTGCGCCCTCGCCAACTACCGCGCGATAGAAATCTCGAGCTCATGATCTAATTGTTTAATAGTTTATGTAATACAAGTTTCATTCTTCGAACAGAGGGAAACAATACATACATACAAAAAATATACATATCCTAATTGACCACTCCCCCAATGGGGCTTTTCAGGGCCAATGAAACCAAATGATGAAACAAATAATGCAAATGAACATAACATGGTTAAAAATCCCAACTGGCAGGAGGCAGACCAGTTGGCTATTTACAAGCATGACCGAGGCGTTGAACTAGGGTCTACCGAGAAACAACTCCGGCTGAGTGGTCAGAGCGGGACTTGAACCCGCGACCTCCGGATTTCAGGTCCGGCCCCCTAACCACTCGGCCACATTGCCTCCTTACTTACTTACTTACTTACTTACATACTTACAGCTCAAGATGTCTAATCTGAAAACTTGTTTGTCCATTGGATAAGCGCGGAAATTCATCAAAGTTGTAGCTGTTATCGTAACCCTGGAAAGGTAAATGAAGCCGTTAATTAGATTTCAGTTGATGGGACTACCTTGTGGAGAATTAAAACACTGCAAAATATATAAGCCGTACACCGATCACAGTGATGGTGCTTTGTCGTTTGTCTAGTATAGAACACCAGGGTGGATGCATGGAGGCTGACTGTGCAAAAAGTCAAATACGGATCGACGATTTCAGGCTGGAAATACTTTTGTGAATATTCTGAGATTAATGCATATAACATTTATTGACTTTGATGGGGTTAAAGTAATTTTGGCGTTAGACTGCAGGCAATGGAGCCTAATACAACACGCACCACTACTTGTGGAAACGTAATAAGCCTGGCCTGTTTTTGTTGTTGTTTTTTTTGTTTTTTTTTTTTTTGGAGGGGGGGGGAGGGCTAGTCTTGCCGTTTAAAGAAAGGAAGAATTTGATACGGTTTAGTTAAAAACATATCGTTGTCTTGTATTTGCAAATTTTCAACAACAAAAAATTGTGTACTTTTCAAAATCTTAGCCTAGGGTTTCTTCTTGAAATTCTTAATATATAAAAGAGTGTATAAAGCAACATTTTATATTACTAGGTTAAACACTATTTATATTCGAGAATATCAAGATGAAGACATTCGTCTTATATACCTCTGAGAGAAAACTATCAAGCCGTCTCCATACAGGACCACAGTGCGTGTTTCTTGTTGTACATGGGTTTTCACTGCGTTTTCAAAGTAAGTGTCTGGCAACCATATCTTATCGAGAGTTTCATGCTGTAGAATAAGGGCGTGGTCTCTACTGCCAAAGGTCAGCCTGGACTCGTTCCAAATCTGCCTCATGTATATATCAACGTTAAATTCCTGCAATACATGTTCAAATTGATCCTTTGCCAAAATAGAATACAAAGACTATGGACTAAACTCGCGATATTTCGATGTCATGTTAAAATCATTATTAGGTTAAAAGAAAACTAGATCGTCCGATCCACGAGATGTTGTTATAAGCCAAAAACAAACAAACAAACAAACATACAAACAAACAAACAAACAAACAAACAGACAAAAAAAAAATTGCACACCCAAACATGAAGTTACAATGAAACTATTACAATTTTCCCGGGCATATTTCAACACAATACAACTGTTTCTTTTTTTAACTTGAGAGCAATGTGAAGGTGAAGCCCAAAGACTAGTTTTTGTTAGCGTTTATTTTCATTTTCATCAGTTGAAATGTAATACTGAGGTTTCCCTTAATATAGAGCCTGGTTAAGAAACTCCATACCATGTTTTCAGCACAAATGTTTCCAATGGACAAAAACCCAAGCGACACTGTAATTCTAAGTGCTTTTCCTGAAAGAAAGATTTCAAAGGCTATTGTTATTTGGAAGGGAAAATAGGACAAAAAAAGCAAACAACAAGGAAGTAACTTAAGCAGGCAAGCAAGAGAGTTATAGGTAGTGAAATAATCACAAAAAGTAGGACAATAATGGAGAAGGCACGTACATAATTAAATGACAAAACGAAGTGAAGGTCCTTAATTAAGGTGGCTGAACACAGTTTTTGATACTTGTGTTTCATTCACCTTTTTCTCTAAAACCCTTGATCCTTTGGCCGCCAAAAATGGCAGCAAGCAAGTTAACAACACAAACTTCAGTTTTTTGATTGTTAAGCTGACGTATGTGCTGTTGCCATGGCAACACGAATAAATAAAAACAAGCCTTTAAAATCGGTTTTTCCGGAGAAGAAAATCAGAAAATCTAGTCATTAGATTTTCTTTATAATTTGCATGCAACAAGCTTTTGACGATGCTCACAAGTTAACACTATTTTAATAAAAATTAAACAGAGATCTTTAATTATTCCTTGTTGAAGGTTCACTGGAATATTTAGAATTTCCTTTGTTACAGTTCAAATTTTTTTCAGTACTCCAGTTACTTATTTCCTAAAGTATTTTCGTGCCAAATTTCGTGAAATTCTAATGAGTGGTTCTCGAGAAATAGGCGTATTTTCGAGAAAGCCATTCCACATTCAATCGCAGAATTACTGGGTTCTTTGCATCGTTACCTTTTCTAACATACCTTTGTAATAAAAGACTAACACCATCAATACACTGTGTTCAATTATGAAGAAAAATAGTAAAGATAGCGCGGGTATTGCGCAAATAAAATGATCGCTGTATTGACGCCATGTTTTTTTTTTTTTGCAATTCTTGTGCGCGCGTTGAATTGCATTAGCAAACTGTGTTCGGCCACCTTAAAGGGGCTAGGTCATAGAATTTTAGGCAATTTAAGCCCTTATCAACTGGACATGGAATTAACTGAAATATAATAATAGATATCACAATAACGGCTTAAAATGTTAGCCAAAAGAAACGCAGAAAGCCAAAAACTGGCGTGTATGGGAACAATTTGAGAAGACTTTAAAAACGGATATGCATTTGGGTAAACTTGAAAAACATCGGCCAGAAATCTTTTAAATTTATGCCAATTTGTATCAATTGCTCTGAAATCATTCTTCTTAGCTTGGATTTGTGGCCAAGATTCTGCCACTTTAAATTTTAGAGCGCATAGTTGACAAAAATAAGCAGAATTGCCTGAGATTCGGTGACCTAGAGTCCTTTAATGTTTTGCATCTTCACGACCCTGCGACCAAGTAAACGTGGTGAATGATAAATGCGAGACTTAACAAGCAGGCGAGGCTAGCGATTTTCCTTGCAAGCCCGAGACATTTGTGGCTTTTGAAATTGCCAGACCGAGACTTCAAAGTGTTTTAAATGCCAGTGCGAGGCGTTCAGACTCTAAGACGTTTGGAAGTCAATTGTAAAAACAAACAAAGAAACAAACGAATCGGGACTTCTAGACTTTCTTAATTAGTCTTGCAAAAAATCGAAACTCCGAGACAGCTTTGTGAAACAAACGGGACTGCGAGACCCGTGAAATTCGACGAAAATTTTGCGAGACTCATAGTTTTTGAAGGATTATTCACTACCCCTAATAAATGCTCATGCTTTAAGTCCAATTATATTTGGTATATACAATAATTCTTACCTGCATGCCCTGGTCTCAATCGTTTATCGTAGTTTTGAAAAAGTCCCTCTAAAATGTCCGAGGCATTTTCAGGTTCAGTAATCGGAGGTATAGTCTCGTTTCCGACAAGCCAGCTCGTCGCCTTGGAACTAAATGTCGAAAGGAATAAACGGTAATCAACTTGTTCTCGTCAAGGGAATACATCATGATTATACCACGAAGTATTGTTAATTTCAGCTAAATATCGTGAAGCAAACAGGTATCGACAATAGCCCTAATAAAAACCAAATACCAACGCTATTAGAAACGTATGGAAATAAATAGGATGCTTTGAGCTCGTGTCTGCGGATGAAGTTTCACTACAGTTTGTCCAAATTTGGTAAGCAATGGCAGATTTATGGTGAGCAGGACTATTTTAATGCTGAGTTAGCCTTTATTACGCTCAGACGTTCTTTTGGCTCAATCCCGCGATCATGGCCTTTTAACGCAGGTGTGAAGTATAGGATTATTGTAATTGTATTGGCAAGAATTAGCAGTGAAGGCAGTTTATGGAGGTATAAATTCATTTATCTTCATGGCCATACTGTTGACGGCCTTTTGATTATAGAACTCTAATATTCCTTAGAAAGACTCGTGAGGTTGTTCTTGAAATGTCGTGTAATTATGATCAGGCTTTTAAAGCATTGGGTGATTACGATACCAGTTGGTTTGAAAGGGTAAATTATAATTTTTTTTTTTAATTAGCAACTGCTTACACCTGCTCCGTAATGTTAGTCCTAAAATATATACTTTTTAAAACCTCCCTGTAATTTCATCCCAGTGATTAAGCTATTTAGAAGCTAACTCCTGGAGGCCTATCTGAGAGCTATTGTTGTTGCTGTTGCTGTTTTTGTTCTATGAATGAAAAGCTATTCCATGATGTAGTAATGTCTCTATCATGATCTTTGACAAGTGTTTTTCCTTTTGGCTTTCGCCCAATGCCCTTGTTACTTGTCAGCGATGCTTTCATGCCAAAGAAACCCTATTAAACGACATCCTATATTGCTCTTTTTAGCTAAATAACCTTTCAACTCCATAATATAACCAGTTGGTCTCTCTTCCGTAATATAACAAATAGACTACGAGCCCGAGCTCTCTGTGAGCACAAAGCTAAGTCGACGAGGCACTGCCGAGTTGACCATCCCTACCCGCGGTTTAGTAGACATTCTATTTAAGGATTGCGATCCAAAACCTATAATTTTACGTATTTGTGAGTCAAAATCAAGAAGAAATTCTCTCTTCCAAGAGAGACGTGCGCTTGGTCGTGTTCTATCAACGAACAGAGGACAATAGAGAACCAATGAGAGTCGATGGCGGTGATTTCCAATAAGCCATGCTGTGTAATTAGTAAAGATGATACAGAACTATGCAGAACTTAATAGTTTTGTTTATTAAGGACTTCCCCTGCCAAGTTCAAGTAGACAACCCCCATTCGAACAAATAGAAATTCTATTTAACGCATTTCGTATAAAAATTAGGTTATGTCTTCACTGCAACAGATTATGGAAGGTTGTGATCTTTTAAAAGATCTTCGATTTTGCCAAATCTCAACTAAGACAAAAGTATATCTTTGTAACTACGGTATTCAAGTTTTTAGATTGTTTCCGTATTATAAGTTGACCAGGAAACGATTCTGAATTTTATTTTCCATTAACGAAAATTTCATTAGGTTTCGAACTCCTCGCCAGCCCGCCAAAGAACAGAATGCCTAAAAGGTTTATTTCACTGGAAAAGACACTGCAAACGAAATCTGACAGGCTCTTTCTATTAATGAAATAAGAAATTAACAACTATATGCAAAATTACTCGTTAATACGTGCCTGCTGCACAGTCAGTATCTAATCAATTATTGACGAGGGTGTTTGTTATTTAAATATGTGTAGCTGGTAAAGTTTGCGACCTTGAAGGAGAACATAAGACATAACCATGGTTATCTTAGTCTTTAACTTCAATATGCAGTTTGGAATAAAAACTGAATCAGTTATTGTGATAAGGTTCAACTGAAAACAAAGAACATCCCAGCGGTCCTGAGTTGCCTTAGAGAGAACGTCCGACTTAAGATTACTCTTCTAAAATACCCTTCATAATTAGATTGAATTTATTCATGATGTTGCAGCTATAGGAAGTAACTTGCCCGTGTAGTTTTGCACGGCAATTCACCGTTAACAGCTCGAGCAAAAGATTACAGTTAATTCCTCCTGGGTCACTGTAGAGTTTTAGAGGGCTACTGAGATGGAAGTATCAAAACCTCAGTTGTCAGTCAAATTGTCCGCTAAATGGAGCCCGTTTCTCAGGTATTGGTAAATTCTGAAGATCTCAGATCTAAACTACATGTATCAGTTACAAACGCTGAAAGTTCAAATTCTCAGTGGGAGTTGACACTAATTTCAAAGTTGTCTTGCTATTTTACTAAAAATACGGCAACCATTTTCGACGAGTCAGTGCAAGTCACTCTAGAGATGTCAGGGGCCTAAAAAAGCTGGACACTGAAATTTATGAATACCGATCACTAACTTCGATAAATGTGCAGCTTTTTATCGAGTCATTTCTGCTTGGCAACGTATTCTTTGGGATCGCTTCAAAGTTTATGCCCAACCTTAAATGATTTTTACGTGTCTTCTTTTTCGAGAAATTTTCTTTGTTGATCGATGCAGCTTTAAATTCACATATCACATACCAAATTTATGAGTACGGTTATATTTACCTGTTAACGATGTTGTGACAGGAAGCTTTAGCTCGATGCAGAAATATCGTTGCACAAAACAAAATTACGAAGAAGGACATGACTGCTGCAACGTATCACTGACACAGTCTTGATTAAAAAGAGTTAAATGAACCTAGGCAGTTCCACATGGCCAACATGATGTTGATTAGAAATTTCTGACACTTAATTGGCACCAGATAAATATTTAACGATGTTTTGTCGCATGCAATTTAACATTTTAAAAATCTACATGTCTAGGTTATGTTCACTGCAATAAATACATTGGTATAAAAAATTAAATTGGTTTCTGGTCGAAAATATTTCAGTTTAGTATGATTATATGATTATTATGCTATATAAACCGCCCGCAGGTATTTTAGTCATGACCTACAGTTTTCAGATAAAACTGTGACTGACCTGGAGCTCAAAAAATAATTAGAATAAACAATTATTGGGTGAGGTTTTTTTTACCGAAACTGTAGTTACAAATGTGCTACGGTGCCGTCATCATTGCTTCTAGTTCGCTATTCCATTAGAAATACGACCTTATTTAGGGACCGTTCATTTTTTATAAGGTAGGGGGGGCTGGTGGGATTTGGGGGGGGGNTAATTGACACACGTCCGTGGGATTGACTTTGTTATGCTGTTGTTGAACCAATATAAAGGCGCTCACGCACGCACGAATACTGCTGAGTTACCCAATTGAAAAACATCGATGTTTACGACTTCAGCACTAGAAACCACTCGAATGTTACACAACGCAAGCTTTCCACGAATTTTTTGTTTGGTGAAAATTCGTCAAGATGCTAGTTTTCAAACTCAAGTATCCCGAATACGAGCTCGGAACATCCATTTTATGTCGCAATTCGACTAAATCAACCTTAAATTGCATTTAAAATTTTCTAAGAAGAATTTTGAATAACTCTTAGCGTATAACTCTTCAGAAGCGAGTTCTTGCTCTCAGAAGAAACGTCGCCGAACTTCCAATCTCTCCTTGAAGTAACATCGTCTCTTCCCGACCACCATCAAAACCACTTCTTCTTGCTCGGCAGACATTGTCCCGCACGAGGCCACGGCAAATATTGTATCCGAGCGAAAGATTCCCAGCCCGGAAAGTCACCAAGTCGACGTATCATTGGATAAACTGGTTAATCATACCAATTATTAACTGGAAAAAGCGGAAATTTACAAACAGCAAAGCTTGCTTGCACAGCAATGGTCCCTTGCAAAGCATAAGCAAGAGATCAAAAGTCATTGGAAGCGTCAGGATCCGAGTAAGAACTGTCATAACTGGAAAGCGCAGACGCCTGCAGACTCATTTTTACCGATTACCGCGATTGAAAATTTATGAAAACCGCAAACCGCTTAGTCTTGTTAAACCGCAATACCGCAGGTTAAAATAAAGATTTGCGCAAAACCGCACCAAAAATAACGCAAAACCGCATCACCGCAAACCCTTACGCCCCCCTTTAAAGGTCTCTGGGTATTCCCAGGATTGTCAATCAAATCCTGATAACAAACTGACCTGTCTTCTCCAACTTCCTGTAAATTACATGCTAACATCAAAGTCGCTATGGTCGTTGATAAGAAGATGAGGTAAAATGTACAAAGAAACATCACAAAAGGACACGTCATATAGCAGATCAGCTACACTGCAATCTGTGAACCAACAAAACAAAGATAGTGTCAATTGCATTTTATAACCCTTCTATATCTATAGAAACCTTGCAATAACTGGAGGCTGACTAGAAAACTTTCGGGTTAGTTGAGTCTCCAGATTCAAATTGTACATTTTTATCTGTCCTTCTATTTATATATATTTTTGTAAAACTGTAAATCAGTGTACGAGTGAATAAAATTGTTGTTGTTGCTGCAACAGTATGCCTCAGTGAAATTAAAGATAATTTCTCTTGGGTCCATCTTAGCATAGGAGCGCAAATTGAAACTGGCGTGACTAAATGCCTTTTCACTGTTATATGTCAACGACATAAATACATAAAATTAACTCAAGTCCGTTTAACTAGCTAGAGGTATAACTTGACAATCTCGCGAGTGACAAACAAGTGGACCTCAAAATCCTACTCAGTGAAGTTAGGTAGGAAGTTAGATACGTTGGTGATTTAGCCGGAAGCAAAGCAAGAGAACCTGGTGGAAAAAAACAAAAACAACAACAACAACAACAACAACAACAACAACAACAAAAACAGAACAAAGATGAACCCAAATAAAATCACAGAACAGATGTTTCAACTAAGATGACATAAGTCAAACAGTTACAACTAATAAAGTTACTCTTGGCCAACAAGTCGTGAAAAATCAGAGAGTAGACGTTGGTAAGAATCGAAAAAAAATCCACAAGTGTGGCCACACATTCTAAAAAAAAAAAACAGAAATGTCTCAAATCGTCTGACATTATGACAAAATAAACTTCAGACAGAGTTCTCCTGTGTAACACTTTTATCTTTAAATTTGGAGGAGTAACCAGGATTGCAAACCTGAATCCTTTAAAAAATAAAATGTAAAAGCGCGAGATGAAAAATGTACGAAAAAGAAAGTGCGAAAAATGTAAAAAGGTAAAATATGGAATAGGCTTGAAGTCAATGTCTGCTTCGTTATTTTTTGCAGTGGGCCATGATTCTGACGTTTGTTGGACATGAAAGTTTCCTTTGTCAATTACACGTCTGGCATTGCCAAAATCACTATAATGGTTGTTAGACCACACTTGGGCTGAGATGCAGTAAAATCTGCGTGTACGAACCTAGTGAAGACCGAGGGTTCCCAATAGGTTTGGCGGGATGCGGGATTTGGCTTTTTTTCGCCGTGATATTTGGGTTTTGAGTTGTAAACAGGGGCGGGAAGCGGGAATTACAATTACGACCGGGAGCGGGATTTCGTGTTTTTGTCGGGCTGGGATGCGGGATTTGCAAGGGGAACAGAGCGGGGATACGGGATTTCAATTCTTATGTGACCTCATAAATTGTTATTGAGCAGCGCAAAAACCACAAGCTGGCAGAAACGAACCGTTTTGCGTGTCAGGTTTCAAGTAATGAATAGGAACCGCTCTGTACCCTGTCAGGTTCTGTCAAACGTATCGTCCATTTCCGACATTTTCGATGCTTGCGTCTGTAACCTTAACCTCCCGATCCTTTCTAGTTTTTCTAGTCTTTCGACCTATTCCAAAGTGCTTGAAAAGTGGGCGGGATCGGGATTTTCTGGCAAAAAAGGGCGGGATGGTGGGATTAACAGGAAAAAATGGGCGGGAAAGCGGGATCTGAGGGCCCCTCAAGACCTAGCTGGCAGAAATTTGCCATTTTAATAGCCACTGCCTGTAAATAGGGAGAATTCAAGAAAATTATTCTTAGAGCTAGTGTATCGTACACTAAAGCCATACTTTAAATCATACCTCAGAATAAGGCCTTGCATGGCTAATTATCGATGACACAGTCCTCCGGAAAACGGCCCGAACAGACGATTTTAGCAAAATGTCGGCCTTCAAAGAGAAACGGTAGTTTGAGCAGCCTGGGTGGATAAATGGAGAAAACGCTTCTTACTTCTTCCTTGGTTATCTCTTGTTATTAGTTCTCTCTTTTCACCAAAAGGGTCTTTTGGACATAACGAACGAAAATTCGAATTCTCGGTCCTGTCGTCAAATTCTACCCATTTACAGGTAGTGGCTATTAAAACTCTAAAATATATAAGAACGTTTACCTGTTTAGCCAAGCAAGATCATGCAGGTTCTTATATGTGGGTTACAGTCAAGTTATGAACGCTTGCATAATACATAACGGCAGAAATGATGGATAGAATAACCTGTAACGCAGCATTAATTAGCTGATCTGCGCTAGCCCTAAAATGTCAAGGGTGCGGATGGTTACTTCCAGAACATTTCCAAGTTTTTGAGAGCAATTAGCAAAAAGTAGTTCTGCTTCAATTACAGAAAATTTTAAGGAATGCTTGTGATTTTGACGTCACACATATGTTGGTGGTACGGAGGAAGATGAGTACAGGATGCGATAATCCGGACTAAAATGATTATGGTAAAAAGAAAAGTATGACCACGTTACTCTGTATGTGCTATACTACTACACCACTGTATGGTTTTGAACCTCTACCGCAATAAAGTGGTTTGAATAATGTGGGCGGTTGTTGGTTATTTATCTAGGAAGCGATGTATCATGCATTCTGCGCGGGAACAGTTCCCTCGAGATTGCCTCATTAGCGAAAAACGAGCGCTTTTGGAACGTTCTAATTTGTACGTCGAGTTGATGAAACATTCAGAATTTACTAACGAATTATCATTATACATGAGTATGCAACTATACCTGATAAAGATAAAGATAAAGATAAAGATAAAGAAAGATAAAGATAAAGATAAAGATAAAGATAAAGATAAAGATAAAGATAAAGATAAAGATAAAGATAAAGATAAAGATACAGATACAGATACAGATAAAGATAAAGATAAATAACCTCGTTCCCAGGGTCTCTCATCTTAACGCCCCCTGTAGCGAGCGAGGAGAGACCCTGGTTGGGTCTGGTCACGTGCCACTTTGACAGTTGAGAACATCAGGGAGGGGTCCTCTGTAATCAGCAATTTGCCGCGTTGAGCTTTGTAGAATGTATCGCGCTGCGACTGTCATTACCCGCGACGTTTATCAATACTTGGCTTTCAGGCTGAAATTTCGAATAATATCTATTCCACTCCTCGCTCGCTCCAAGGGGCGGTAAGATGAGAGACCCTGGGAACGAGGTTGAAAGATAAAGATAAAGATAAAGATAAAGATAAAGATAAAGATAAAGATAAAGATAAAGATAAAGATAAAGATAAAGATAAAGATAAAGATAAAGATAAAGATAAAGATAAAGACTCGTCTATGTAGCGAGAGGCCGAAAAGTGTTCTCGCAAATCAAAATCTGAACTTCTGTTACAATGACAGTTTTTCACAATTTTTTGTTTCTATATTGAGTATTTCATAAAACTAGCCCGATATCGTTCAGTTGGTTAGCCAGGCCTGGACAAACTATAATTAGCAAAATCTATTTTTTGTTTTACCATAACCACGATTTTTCGTTGATTTTGCAGTGACATTTACTTTTAAAACGAAATCAATGACGAAAAGTAGCTGATTATGTTTATACTTATATTGATCAACACAACAGAAAAAATTGTAATTCTCCAATAGGTTTATAACTCACAGGTTGTCCATACTTCGTTTGAAAATGCGCTAGAAACGAATATTTCAAGGGCCAACGTTTATGGCTCATGATAATAATTTGGCCATTTGGAGGTAATAGGTAGTAGAATTCATTTCATTTACTTCAGTAAAATGATGGCTAACGAGTCGAGATCC